AAACACACAAACTTTAATTGACGCAGGTAAAGAGGTTGGTCTAGAAGTAAACACAGAGAAAACTAAGTATATGTTGCTGTCTCGTAACCAAAATGCAGGGCAAAATTATGACATAAAGATAGGAACCAGATGTTTTGAAAATGTGGCACAGTTCAGATATTTGGGAACGACGATAACAGATCGAAACCTGATTCAGGAGGAAATTAAGAGGAGATTGAACTCGGGTAACGATTGCTACCATTCAGTCCAGAACCTTTTNCCAAGCATAATTAGAATGATCAAGTCAAGGAGGATGAGGTGGACAGGTCATGTAGCACGAATGGGGGAGACGAGGAATGCGTATAGGATATTGGTGGGAAAGCCAGAAGGAAAGAGACCACTAGGAAGACCAAGGCGTAGGTGGGTGGACAATATTAAAATGGATCTTAGAGAGATAGGATGGGATAGTATGGATTGGATAGATCTGGCTCAGGATAGGGACCAGTGGAGGGCTCTTGTGAACACGGTAATGAACCTTCGGGTTCCATAAAATGCTGGGAAATTCTTGAGTAGCTGCAGAATTGGCGGCTCCTCCAGAAGGGCTCAGCTCCATGAGTAAGCAAGCCTAACATGTGGTTGCCCCTTGAGGCCATCTTCAGAGGCATGACAGTAGTAGGAAATTAGTTTTGTACTTATGGACCTTAAAATATGGTTCAAATTTGTAAGTTATGAGATTTTATAAAAATATTTCGTATTTTTTTTACAGTAAAAAGTGGGTTCCACATGAAAACGGAGACAGAATCCAGTCTCCGAAACGTTATATGTTTTAAATAAAAACAGGACGATGGAAAATGTCCAGAAATATAATAATTGTATAAAAGTATATTTCATTGCGTCTTCCATAAATGCAGTATGCAAACACAACTGTGTGATTTATCTTCTGTTGTTTGCGTGTTATTAGACTCCTTTGATTATCGATTATCGTTTGTTAAAAACTTCAGATTGTCTTGTTGATCGTTCTTAGAGTCAGTGTGTATATTGGACTGGAGATGGTTATGGTGATGTGGAGGTTGGGTTACACTGGATGGCATGTTATCTCCATAATTACTACAAGTTCAAGGGTGAAGATGTCACACACTGAAATTTCCTTTTATTTTCGACACATTTTAAAATGTTTATTATTTACTCCGATTTATGCTTTCTGCATTTTTATAGTAACTTCATACATCTGCCCTTCTAATACTCACGCAATTCTTGACGTTCCGAGGTCAAACATTTACAAGTCCTTTCTGTCTGAAGTACCTCACGTGGCCGGCAGTGTTACAGCACTGTTTACCTGCGGTAGAAGACCTCGTGTGACCATGTACAATTCTCTGCAACGAAATAGGCGCGTATTCTATTACGCTGTTCGGTGAGAAATGCTAGACGCGTCCTTGCAAACAAAATTTGAAGGACAGCAGAATATTGCCTATCTAACAGAATGTTTCTCTGCCTAGAAATCGTACTCGCCATTTGACGAACTGGGATAGCACAGTCGGTATAGCGACTGGCTACGGACTGGACGACTGGGGGATCGGTGTTCGAGTCCCAGTATGGTCAAGAGTTTTCTCTTCTCCACGTCTCCCAGACCGGCTCTGGGGTCCACCCAGCCTCCTATCCAATGGGTACCGGCGGCACGATCATGAATCCGACCACTCATCTCCAGCTAGTGCCGAGGTCAAGAAAATGTGGCTCTATACATCCGCTCCTCCATACGTCTTCATGGCGTAGTGCTTAATTAGTTAAACACAGGGACAGCTTTACCTTTACATTTTCTCGCTCTTTTCTCCTTCCAGCCCCACTGTGTCCCTGGGGTCCACTCCGCCTCTAACAGAAACGAGTACTAGGAATATTAATGAGGATAAAGCGCGGCCGGCGCGTAAGACCGACAACCTCACAGGCATCTGTGAACCTATTCTTTAGAAAATGTGGGAGCCACGACTTCTCACAACCTTATGGGCAACCACGGCCTCTTACAGGGATAGCTTTACCTTTTTACTCGCCTTTTCTTAGAGGGTTTATTACGTCAGTGTTTCCCTATACCTCCCCACTTTCATTGTACAGGACCTTTATGTCTGAAGTGTTGATCAAGCAGGCCGTGGGCGTCAGAAGCTGTTCTCACCATCAGTGTTGGCACTGTATAGTTCCAGTGTCGTGATTTTTTTCTTCTTTTCGCCAGTTTGATCACAGATCTGCCCCTTACTTGTTTGAAAAACTGTGAACAGTGCGGGTCAAATTGCAATTTTACTTTTCTTTTCATTCGGCATTGCATATATCAGTTTTCATCATGGATAAATTCATAATAATGTATATTTCATCAAGCAGTGCTAGTTCTGAAAGCTAGTCAAAATCAAACGGAAATTAGTGTATCGGCAATATGGTGATAATTATTTGTCTTTCGGTTTCGTGTGTCGTGATGATGCAACATGTCCCGCTCCTGAGTGTCTCATGCATAGAGAGAGACATAGCAACAATGCTATGGCTCCAAGCAAGCTGAAGCGACATTTGCAATAAAGCGCCCTTCACCGATTTGCAAGGATATACTTGTAACCCATTTAATGCTTTGCTCAACGAAGCAGACATAAATATAACTCAGGAAATGAAAGTATGGAACGTTTGGCATATTAATGCAATAATTTGCATGAAGGTTGAATATGAAATAATAAATTGAGAGTTGAAAAACACTACCGGCATCAAGAGAATATTAGAAATTATCATTTGGTACTCTGTAGATTTCGACAAAAAATATATTTTATAAATGTACATCTTTCATAGTCAAAATTCATAACCCACATACACAGCCTTATCGTCGACAGTTATGTTCAACATGGGTTAGGTTCTGTTTTCAAATTCCTGCATTCTTATGGGAGATTGAGTGCATTTGTTACCAGCTCCAGATGATAGGTGATAGATGCGATGGTGATTGTGTAGTAATTGGTGAAATGGAGCTTGACAAGGGAACCCGAAGTACTCGGAGAAAACCTGCCCCAGCGCCACTTTGTCCATCACAAATACCACATGACCTGACTCGGGCTCGAACCCGGGCCGCTGCGGTGGGAAGCCAGCGACTAA